TGGAATTGACGATTCGGTAGCTTAATAATAATCTATCATAAATCCCGAGCCATTAGTTGCTATGAATAAACTTCCCTTCTAAAACCAGTCCAGTATCGCTGAGAACCCTTTTTGGGGGGGGGGGGGGTCTTGGCCGTAAGATGACTGTAGATATAGCCCGCGGCAACGAAGTCAAGGCTGGCTCGATTTTCTCTCTATTACGCTAACCAATGAAGCTTTTGTATGGGCCAAAGAGGAGGAAACACCTCGAAATTTCAGGTGTCTCATTCGATTACAGCTAATGCGAAAGCTGAATTCCATCTAGCATTAAATATTTATATTTAAAATGTTAAAAAAAAAAAAAAGGGAAACCTGTACAGCTATTATATATGAACGGCTGGGTGGAGAAGTTTTCATCAGTCGAGAAAAATTGCGCGTGCGTAATTTCCATAGCATAGGCGATTGTCTAATGTGTGAGAATCGAAAGAGTGTGCCTCTTTCGTTAATAAAATTTCAAGGTTTTCAACGAAAAACAGTAAATTACATATGGCCTATTGAGTAAATGTTGTCGTTTCTAACTACCATAACATCGACGAAACAGCATTTCATGCTTTGTATATATGAAAATATTTAACAGGCCACTTTTGACGTAAAAATAACTTCATACGTATTTGTACATTTTTCGTCCTCTGTGACGGGCGCTGGTTTACTACGTCTGTCAGTATAGAGTAATTCTATACGATATTTGCTTTTTTTTCTGAACGTTTGCACGGGGCTCAGGGTGGCTCGTTTTGTCGATAATCCTATGCTTCCTCTCCCTGCGTTGTTTTTGATCACTGCGTCATTCCATCGATCCATTTTGCTAAAAATGAGTTATAAAGATTGCAATGTCAACTTCCGCAACTCTTCCCTTTAACTTTCCTTTGCATGAGAGAGGCTGTCGACTAACTTTTCCATGCGAGCTCCTTTAGCCTCCAAAGACGTTAACGGCAAATTTCCAACTCGCATTTGCTTCGTACCCGCTTGTCCGCTCCTGCCCCTTCACTTTATACGGGAGCACAGCTTAGGTCTTGTTACCGGCAATGTTGGCAGTACGCAAGCGTCCCATAGTGCTCGTTATTTTTCCTAAAGGTATGGCAGTGTGCAAAGGCGTCGACTGCAAATGCCAGCACAGCGAAGGAGTCAATACCGAATTCGTTGTGCAGTCCCCGTTTGCGTTGAAATATTATATATTGCCCAAGCCAATTGCTTCCGCAGTTCCAACCCAGCAATGCCGGCCAGCCGGTTTAACTTTCCTGTCACCAGTACGGGTAACAAAGTGTTTCTGACAAAAATATTTTTATACATAAAACTTTTGTTTGCTCTCTCGCTAACGAAAAGGTAGGAGAAGTATGTGAAAGGTGCGAAGGGGCAAAGAGAGGTACAAATGAGAAGAAGGCAACCGGATGGGTCAACTGGGAAAAAGGGGGCGACAGAGGATGGAGACGGGATGTGCGGTCGCTGGTAAACTGCAATGGTTTGAGAGAAAAGTTAAGGCGACCGTTCTGTCGGAGTGAGCACAACCGGCCAGTAGCAATGACTGGGCAAGGCAATTGAACCGAGTATGGGGCGGGCCTGTACGACGAAAAGACGGGGCGAACTGAAAATGACGAGGATCAAGAAAAGTCATCGAGAGATATGCCAAGAGAAAAGTGGCCATTTCTTGGTGTGTGAGAAGGCGTGACTATCATCGCTGTCATGCATTTATGTATTAGTAGAACACATTTAGTTTCGTTTAGGCGAGCGGTGTAGGTTGCGTAGTAGGAATTGTCAAGACCGATCGTCAGTGTGCAAATGCCTGAAAAAGACGGACCAGGTTGGTAGGTCGGTAAGGGAAGTCCTGTATAGGCTAACGATATAAGTAGGTAAAAATGCAGCGTTAATGATTAGGTACAGGATGGCTGTAGCAATAATATTATATAT